TTATTATATTAAACTTGTAAATGTAGTTGTTTAATAAACAATCAATATTAGTTACCTTGACTTTAATAAATAATGTAAACCACAACAAACCATGTTTTTAATTTAATTGTTAAAAGTATTATATTATTAATTATCATTAAATAAACTAATAATAAGCAAAACTAATGTATAGATCGCTATACATTATAGCGGTATTTAGTATCGCAGTGTCGGGTGGGGTGGCTATAAATCATGGCACAGGTATGTAAAGTATCCAGGGATAATAATGTTTTTATAAAAAATAGTTAAAGACTTTTATTTATATGCACAAATACTTTATCACTTATTAAAATTTTTTTACTAGTTTATTAATCAATAAATAAGTTATTTTTAAAAATATAAATTAAATTTCTTAATTTATTCTGGACACATTTATTTCACTCATATGCCTATAGATTGCAATCCAAACAAAAGCGTACCTACGTTGACAGCACCGGTAGGTGCATTATTAATTACTAAACCAGTAAATGAATTAAGGGGAAAGACATGCGAATGGATCATAAATGCCAACGACTCTGACCCGGATATGTTACATCTGGACATACAGTCCGTGCGTTTGGGAGGGAATGACTTATTGCGAGTCACGACACATAACACGCGAACCCTATTGTATGAACACTTCGGACAGTTGTCTCCGGGGGTTATACTCATCACTACCCGACATAAGGTGTTTCGGGTTGTGCTCACTCTATCGCCGGACAGGGATGTGGACAGGGAGTGGGATGTCGGCTATAACACCAAAGATCTGAGCGCACAGTTTACCCGTATTGACAGCGCCGGTAGTTTTGTATTTCCTTACTATCATAAAGATCTGGATTTTAAGGGAAATGGATTAGACTTTAATCTACTGTTTGAGGCCAAGTCTGACACCAAAAAGTTGTTGATGAATGTGGCGGACAGTGATCTCAATGGAGGGACAGTTAGCTTCCGGTTTGTGGAGAAGTATTCATCGCTAAACCTATTTGACGCAAATCACACAAAACCCGAGTTTTTGTTCTCAAAGGGACAGCAAATCGTTGTAATGATCCGCGGGTTCCGGAAATATGACACAAATCCCGGGAATGCCTTACGTTTGGACTACGAAGTTGTGGACTCCCGGTGCAGTCAATATAAACAGGTGAACTTTATGTTGACATACCTAATTATATTATTTGTATTTTTAAACTGTACGAGTTTATTTAGTAAATATTTGCAAGTGTATATATTTTTACATGTAATATAAACTGGTGAAAACGAATCTAATTTTAATTTAACCTTGATATATTATTAACATATTTAATATTGATATTGTTTATTAAAATTAATCATTACATAATATTTTTAATAGATAACAAACCGGGACCAATTAACAAACATCTTACTCCCTGATCAGCACACACTAAAGTTATCCAGCTATAAATGTGCCAACATATTTGAACACAAACTAAATTTCGAGAGATTTCTACTCGATTTGACACATTTCTCACAATTCATAAACACCGGGGATATTATGCGCGTATTGGACGGCATATCCCGGGACTCCCAACCCATGGCTGTCATTGAGTCCCAACTGTTGGACACGTATTGGAGGCATAAGTACTTGTATTCGACGGCAAACCGGTTGTGGATATCGTATGAATCGCAACGTGTGGTCAATACGAGCCAACCCAAGGACAACCTCATTGGCGTCCGATCCATATCCCAAGGTATTTGATACATTTGTAACTAGGTTATATTTTATAGATATGATTATTTATTTCTAGGCGGGAACTACCATTTCAATGAGACGACATCCCTTATGGAACTGGAGATTAATACTAAGTCTAAGCCTTTATTGCCTATTGTATACACTTTTGAGGCTACATCTGGTTATCAATTAGTAGTAGACCTGGATGACACACATAGACTACCCGGAAATGGCTCCCAAAATCTGTTGGCAATCTATGAGAGCACCAATAGACATAATGGACAGCCTATTATTGAACTTCAATCTCAGGCATACCCGCCCCGTACTATCGCCTCAAACACGAATCAATTTAAACTCGTATTCAATCAATTGGTTGACTATAAGCTAACTGTCCGTAAGGTTAAGGCTAATGGTTGTTATGCCAGGGCTGGGACCAGTTATACCAGATATCTTAACACCACCTGTGAACCAAAATGTTCATGGTTAATCCGTGGTCGACCCAACACTTCGGGCACCGTTATCTTACATTTCACCCATATATCGCTACCTAATTCAACGGATCGGCTAACCCTACGAATGGTGGGACGGGATGTAAAAGCAATACTCAAGTTTACTGGTATTTCTAATTAATAATTTTAAAACTAACTTGATAACAATATTACTAAAATTGATTTATTACGCTCAGGACCTTTCCACACGACTTCTATACCCGATGTCATACTACCATCCAATGAGACCCATGTGTTATATACTGAACACGAATGCCTTAACCAGTCGTCCCCCTTAACAATCACG